GTTTTTCCTGTTTTTCCTGTTTTTCCTGTTTTGGATTTTAATTGTGAGCTGCCCAGAGTTACCCTCTGGGGGAGATGGCTGGTGTATAAATTTAATAAATAAAATAAATAATAAATAAATATTGTTGGATCCCAGCATTGTGCCTTCTCTGTAGCAGTTCCAGCCTATGAAATAGCTTCCCTCTGGAGATCTGGATGACCCCAACCCAGTTAGCCTTTCATAAGGTGCTGAAGACCTGGCTGCTTCCCCAGGCATTTGAGGTTTAGATGTGTTCTGCTGCTGTTGATGTGTTTTCTGTGACTGGAGTTATTGTTTTATACTTGAGCACCAAAAGTTGTATGCTGTGGTTCATGTTTTAATCCTTGTACACTGCCCACAATCACTGTTCTGAGATGGCTGACCACATAAATAATTTAAATAAACAAACAAATTGCATTCAGAGTTTGGTAAATTCTATAGAAACCATCTGAATAAGGAGATTCTATAGTCCAGACACAAATGGCTCATGAATATAGCCTCCTTATCCCTGATCCAAGATGGCCTGCTCACTGCTTGTTGAGGACCCTATTTCACAGTGGAGTCTCCATCTCATTGCCAGACTGCTGCTAAGGCACACTGAAGTCAGGTCAAGATGACCTGGGAGGAAAGTTGTTTTCCATCAGAAATGTAATAATACCTTCTAGGCAAACATTCTGTATTGCAGGAGAAAGGAATCTAAGGGTGGTTGACAACCTGCACAGCTCCAATTAGTTCGCTGTAGGACTGCCCCCTATTTGGCCACGGGCTCTGTTCCACCCTGTTTCTTTTCTGACTACTGAAGAGAATAGAACCTTTGCCAATGAAGCCTGTAAGAACTTCTTCTGCAATGTTTTGCAAACATCCATTCTCATTCCCAGGCTCAGGGAATTCCATCACAGATGAGTACGTAAACAACCACATTTTCTGCTGTACTGTATTTTAAACGTTTTATACGATCAAGCCCAATTGGCTCCACTAACTATGAAACAAAAGATAGAACATATGTCATTGATAGTCACATGTTCCCCAGAAATATTTCCACAACAAAAAATATGTTAGTCTGAATATGCTACCTCAAGGAGATTGCCACATCCAATCTCTAAGGAACATAATTTTTATTAATGAGGTTGAGCAAATACGTTCAATGTTATACATGGGAGTCTCCATGTAACGAGCATTTCTTACCCTGTGTATATCTGCTTCCTCCATTGAGATAATGGGTTAGCCCACACTCATGCAAGAGCAATTTCGATGCATCAATGTTTAATCAAGATGGCAACTGCTATATAATAGCAACACTATGGGATCCTACCTACAATCAGAGTAATACCCATATTGAGGGAGCTGACCCATGCCGTCAGCCCTCGACTTTGGCTGAACTCTTCAAGCCACTGCATGTTGAGAATTCCAAGGGCCATTTGTGATCCCATGATGAGTATATGCACGAGGAAAGAAGAAAAGACTATCATCCAAGCCCATCCTCTATCAATATCTGGATTTGGCTTCAGCTTCTGTTCTTTCTCTTTGGAATTCTTTTCAGAATCATAAGCAACATCTTCGTGACTGTCATACATTTTCAGTCAAGTATCCTGAAAAAGATCAAATAATATTTAGTAGTTCCTGAGTAAACTTGTATTTCATTTACTTGCTGTTATATTTTTAATAAAATGAAACCCAGCATGATACTAGCTAAATTTGCCATTTCATGAGATTTGGTTGAATTGGTTACCTTTCGGTATAAATCAGGCCCAAACCTTTTCTGGGGATTGTCCCCCAAGCTAAAAATGTAGGACACTTTAGGGTTAAAGTGTTTCCCTGATTGCTAGGAATATAGTCAATATCTTAAGTCTTTTTGGTTATATATTACATCTTATATGCTTAGCCAATATATTTTAAGTGTAATTGTACACTGATTAAGAGGCATCCATGCAGAAGCACCTCTAAAACTAAAATTGATTAAAGAACAATATGAGAGAAAAAGGCAATCCATGGATTTTCATTTTCAGACAGCTATTCCAGTGATACAACAGCAGATAAATATTGTATCTTTGCCGGTAGAATTTTATTTGTACTTTCATTTCTGCAGCTGACCTAAAGAAAACTAGTGGTGGCCATAATCCAACCTAAAATTCACCCACCTGCTACTTTCTATAGCGTACCCATCTGCACTATTGATTTTGCATAATTACACCATCTGTTGCTTATCTCTAGATCTTAAAAGCTGTTCTAGGAGCTCTGCCCCTTGCTGAACTACACTCTTTAGAAAAATGCACTGTGTTTGCACTATCATATTCTGGCTATAATGTATTTACTAGTAAATTTTGTTCACGTCTGCAAAAAAATCTCTGCTTTTGGAAGAGAGAGGATAAAATGCTGTTAACACTGGGAAAATAAAGCAAATAACAGTGGCAATGTGGTACTGTGAGTTATTTCCTGCAAGAATAGAATCATGGAAAACCCATGTGGGGTGTCCAGGCTTTACATGTTAAAAGTCTATGGATAAAACTGCAAAAGAGCAACTCCCAAAATATATACAGGAAAACACAGGACTTTGATGCCTTAACCTATAGTTCAACTCTGGTGCTGCATTCATAGTAAATTTCTTAATTTTATTAAAAATATTTACATTGTGTTGAATTTTATTAAAACAACACCTGTAGTGCACAACCAACTCACTCATATTGCAGCACAGCTCTATTGAAAGATGCAACTTTTTTTGGGGGGGGAACTGAAAAAACATTTCTCTCCTCCCCGCAAAGTATTTCTAGGGGTGACTACTTCTGCTATTTGTTACAGCTGCAGAGAAACATAACTAAGGTACATGGTCTTGATATTTCAACATCCAGCAACAGGGATGGGTATCTAAATGTTTATTCTTGTAGGGACTGAACTATATCTTTCAATATCTAAACTGTAAATATACTCAGAAACAGGAAAGGTCACTGTTGTGTGTGTGGTTTTTTTTAGTACATAAATTTTACACACGCCCCATTAGCTGGACCGCACTATGATAGGACACAAGGCCTCACCTCACAACTGAGTCAGAGTAGCCCTGACCTCACACCATGACCTCCATTCATTCCCTGGCGTGACCAGATTACTGTTCCACAACTAAATACCATGAAAAACAAATACCAAAATGAAACAGGAAACTTTGGAGAAGCAAGGAGAAACACTGTAATTTGTTCTTAATCAAACAAGATAAGCAGGTCCCAAATGCTGCAATGAAAGTATTAATAAACTCCCGTAGCCCTTGTGTTAGAGGCTTGACATTTGGGTTGTGTTTTTTATTAAATGTATGAATTTCTGTACTGTTGTGGTGATCAAGAACCATACTTAATATAGGGAGGGAAAGCCTTAGGCATGAAAGTCAGCTGGGTGACTTTGGGCCAGTCACTCTCTCTCAGCCCAACTCACCTCACAGGGTTGTGGTTGTGGGGAAAATAGGAGGAGGAAGGAGTGTTCGGTATGTTCATTGCCTTGAGTTATTTATAAAAATAATAAAGATGGGATTTTAAAAAAACTTTTAAAAAGATGGTATGAAAGACTGCAATCTTTGAAACTCTTGCGGGAATTTTAGCAATCACTTCCCTGTTTAGGTGTGAAGGTTACAGAGCTACTTTTATTCATGTACAGCAATTCTGTTGTGAGGATAAAATGTATGTCTTTCTGAAATTTCAGGATAAAGACTACAAAACATTTTAAATCACAAATAAACAGGCATCCTGGGTAAGTGTCAGTGCACTGCATATACTTCTAGTTGATGGGATGCAGGAGGCAATAGTATGTTGGCTTGCAAGGTAATCTCTATAGTAGAGATCCTATAGTAACTTAAGATTTGGCTGTGCCTCCAAAATAGGCCAAACTGATAGTTACTATCCATGCCAATAGCATGAAATGCTGCTGTATAGTCTACCCCAGTGTTCTTCAGCCTTGGGAACTTTAAGATGTGTGGACCTTCAATCTCTAAAATCCCCCCAGCCCAACCTCCGTCTGTGGGGGGGGTGTGCGAGATGGGTCGGTCATATCTTTATTTTCTATACCGGTAACACAAG